GATAGGATTTGATCAAATGCAATTGAACTCCCCTTATTCCATAATGCTCCAGTTTGTTGCAGAGTATATCATGTTCAACTGAGTCAAAAGCTTTGGAGAGGTCCAGACACAATGCTGCTGTTTCTTTATCGTTATCAATAGAGTTCAATATGTTTGATAGTGCCTGATAAACAGCCTTTATTGTGCTTTTCCCCTTCCTAAATCCATTTTGTTCAGACGTCAATATATTATTCATATCTAAGAATGTTGATAACCTCTCGTATATAATTTTTTCGAATATTTTGTTCACATTTGACAGTAGTGAGACCGGTCTATAGTTTGCCATATCGCCCTTATCCCCTTTTTTGTAGATAGACCTAATATATCCAATTTTCAAAGACTCAGGATATATTCCTGTACAGAAGGATAAATTTATGATATGTTCCAAAGGAATCGATATCAAGTTAGCAGATGCTTTAATGCGTTTAACTGGAATTTCATCTTCTCCCACTGAATTTTTATTTTTTAGTTTACTGATTATTTTTACTATTTCGGGTCGGTTTGTTAATTGAAATCTACAACTGTTATTGCAGTAAGTTATTTTACCATAATCTACCTCACCACTCTTGATGTCTGGTGCTGCACTTATATAAAAGTCATTTATTCTATTCAAAATGTCATATGACGATGATTGGGGATCTGATTTGCTGAGATTGTGAAGAATATTTTTTTTTTCATTATTAGAGGTATTGTTAGTTATTCTTTTGATCAGCGACCAAGTCGCTTTCGATTTGTTTTCTGCATTGAAAATGAAATCCTTATTGTCCAAGCGCTTAGCCTTTCTTGTAACTTGTCTCAAAATGCTACAATATTTTTTATAATAATCCTTTGTCACCTGACCTCGCAGCATTTCGTTACGCAGATAAAGTTTCTTGGTACAAGATATTCTGATACCGTTTGTTACCCAAGACTTTGAAGTACTTACATTTTTGCATTTTTTGAGGGGAAATAATCTGTTCATCAGCGTTCGAAGTTTGAATATGAAAATATTATAAGCTCTATTTACCTCAGTACAATTCAATATTTCTTCCCAATTTTCGCGTTCTAGTTCTTCAGAGAAATATCTCAACCTGGCTTCCGAGAACACTCTCCTTACCCTAAACTGATTCTCCATTTTGCTTTGGTTTTCTTCGAGCTCTAGGAACTGACCATAATGATCTGACAGAGCCAGATCAATAACTTCACAGCATTTATACTCCTTAAAATCAATGAATATATTATCCAAGAGTGTGCTTGAATTTTCAGTTACTCTGGTGGGTTCAAAAATCAATTGTTGCATATTGTGACTAGATAGCGTGTCTAATAATTGCTCAGATATTGGGTTTTTTACTAGAAGATTCACATTGAAGTCTCCGCATACCACTGTTTTACAATGTGTGTACTTATTATTAACATAGTCTAATATTTCATCAATTTTTGTGATGAAATTTTCAAAATTACCAAGATTTGTACGATAAATGCATATGATGATATAACTGGATCCACTGCTAACCTCTGACTTAACAGCAGCACACTCGATTTCACCTTCCACACTCATCTCTTCTATTTTATGTACACGCTCACACTCGTATTCTTCTGATACGAAAATGCATGCTCCTCCATGAATTGCGTTTTTTCTTGAGAAACAGGACTTCATTTTATATCCGCTTAGTTTAGTGAACGATTCTTCCTCTGGTTTCAGCCAGTGCTCTGAAAGACATATAACTTGCGGCTTATAATCCATTGCTTCGAAATTTGCCTCAATATCTAATATTTTGTTACGAATGCATTGAATATTTTGGTGCAAAATTTTGATGCTCCTTTTTTTCATCTCCGTACTTCCGATCTCATTCCTTATATTGTTTTTTTTCTCTATTCTATCATTCCCTGAGTCCGCATTTTCTATACTGACACCATCTGTTAAATGATGCCTATTACTATCTAGTTTTTTTGACTCTGTGGTACTTTAATTATTTTCGGAATATCTTTAAAGTATTTGATTCTCAGATTTTCCTCCCCTTTCTGCATTCTTTGCTTCATTTCTTCTCTTAGGATTTTATATTCATTAATTTGCATAGCTGTTTTGTCGAAGCCGATAGCCAAAGTTTTATATTCAGGAATTTTTATCAACTCCTTTGCCTTGAAGAATACATTTCTTGTTTCTGTGTAAGAAGACAGCGTTGCTCTAATTGGTCTTGGTCGATCAGTATTTGGCTTGCCCACTCTTCGTACTTTTATTTGTGTGCAATTTATCTCTGGACATACACTCTGGATAATTTCTCCTACCTTGACAACATCGCTCTCATTTTCATCCTCGGGCTCAGTTTCAATACATCCGAATATCATTATATTATTTTTTCTTCTTTCTCTTTCATTTATTTCATTCACAGCATCTAGTGGATTCTGATTATGTTTTACACCGACTCTAGACTCCGACATCTGCTGTTTCAATAGATCAATCTCTTGCCTCAGCTCATTATTAATTACCAACTGTGCTTCATACATTTTCATCATCTCTGAGTATTTGTTGTCCATTTTATTCAACTTGTCCATCACATCGAAGAGAGTAATTTCTTTTTGTTGATCAGGTGTAGTAGAGCTAGTAGATTTCGCCTCCCCTTCATCACATGATATGCAGAACCACCTTTTTCCTTTGGTATTCTTCAGTTCCTTTTGGAAGTTGTTCAAGCTTGAAATACTCATTCCAATACATTTTGTGTGAAACCATTTTGAACATTTGGCGCACCCAATTGCATAGGAATTGTTTGTGGTTGCTTTACACACCCCACATGCCATCGCAGTCATTTTTACGAAGATACAATTAAAAGCACACTTTTCCCTCCGAATCGTCGACTTGGCAACCTCGCTTCTCTCCGTTCTCCGGAGCTCGACTATGTTTATGTTGTCAATAACACTGATTTTTGTCGTTTTGGAATACCAAATTGACTCACTGTACTTCTCCGTGCACAATCTATTGATTCTTTATCCTCTAAGCTGATTTCGCAAAATTTTCTTCAAAATTTCTAATAACTTTTTGATTTAAAACACGAGCCGCGTGACTGTAAACTGACTCAGCAATCGTCAAACTCATGTCGTTTCTAATTTCGAATTGACGCATGCGCATAAGTCTATTAATCCCCGGGGACTATCTTTTGTTTTTATTTCTGGCATCAACTATGAGATCTTGTTATCCATATAGTTATTTATACGTATATGGATATAAATGGTTCGACATAAATAGTAGTTATATGTTTGTTATAAATGAGTGTTCGTTCCCTTTCGTGAAATAAATCAGTTCGTAAATAAATGGTGGTGTTCGCTTCTGCACACAAATAAAGTAACAATATTATACAGGGTTATTCACGATGAGTGCTAATTTTACTGGGCTAAATGTAATCCCCGCAACTCGCAAATCATTATTCCATGCATAGTTTATGCTTAACTAACCTTGATCAAAATTTGGGAGCTTCATAGATAATCTTGTACATACAGGTCAATGATGTAAAGTGACCTTCGAATAAGTCTAAATTCGCCCACTCAAACTGTATGCAAATGTTATGGCATTGATTCATGGGTCGAAATGAAGGAATTAACCAAAGGGCATACCATCGTAAATAATCTGAGAGAAATGTCGGTTAATGGTAACTTGCGGTCCGTATGCCGCCCTTCGGGACCGACCTAGACGTATGCAAATCGGCTAGCGCCCGGTTAATTTGGCGAGATGCGACTATTCCAATGAATTTTAAAGCTTCTTCTATAAAACAATTTTCAACATTACTTTCAACAGGAAGTTGATTGATTAGGGAGATGGGCGACCGGGTACCGATCCAACTAACCACTTTTTTCCCGATAATCCAACTCAATCTTCATGTCTCTTGGAGGGCATACCTTCGTAGATAATCGACACCCCTAGTGTTATGGGCCAATGGTCTATTACATTGCCATCCAAAAATATGCACACAAATTCTTGCAAAACGACTTTATAGGTTATTAATGAACATGTTGAAATTGCATTTAAAGAGGGGCTGTTTCTAAATATTCATGAAGGCAAAAATGTAAACCTAAATCAATATCATATTTGTCATTCATGATTTCACTTGTGATTACATGTTTGATATAGTTTTTATTCCACTCATCTATTCTACTTCCTGTGTCAAGTACGCCTATGCTCACCAATGCCAGTGAATTCATAGAGAACATTGGTAGTCTAGCATTAGTGATATCTTCTAGATGGAAGCTCAACTGCCCACCATGCACTATAGACGAATCAATGCCATTCATGAGCATTTCTCAACTCAAAAGGATTTTTGAAACTTGCACCTTCTTGTATAATGTTTCTTTGCTAGTGGGGTCCCAGAAATCTGGAAAGGAATGATCGAATGTTCCACCTCCTTCATTAACCAACAGACAGTATTCAAAATAGATGGTAAAATATATTAAGTAGTTTATTTGTTTTGATGTAATTGACATAATGAAGAGGATGCTTAAAGTAATTTGTGTTCAATAAATTGAAAACAGCAAAGGTGGATGACAGGAAAAAACAACTAATTTCCTTATGACTAATGCCATGCTGAACATTCTCTAGAAATCTATGTAATGATTCATATAAGTGTGTGCAAGTGTTTTCTATCCTAAATGCCAAATTGTCATTAGATTGTGGCCAGGTTGATGTCCTCATCAATGTAGTATAGGGAGTATAGGGTAGTAATCAGACAGCAGTCCTAAGCAAAACAACCTGAACCATTCAGCCACTCCCATTTCTTGGAAGGTATGCCAGAAAGTGAAATGTTAATAAGGAATCAGTGTAGGTACACGTCAAACAATGAAGAAAAACTGATTGTGAATAATATGATATTCCATAATTATTATTATGAGTCACTGACAATGGTTGTTAATGAAATATTGGTTTACCTACTGACTCATTATATTATTGGTAAATACACATTCTCAAAGAGATAATGAGTAAATATTTATCAACTTACCACTTCTGGTACAACATATTGCAGTTTCATGGACCATTTTATATTCTTTTCATCTACATCTTCCAATTTTTTTGTGGTTTCGGCCATATTCAAACAAATTGAACACTTATCAGTAAGCATTTTCTATATCAATTATAAGTTGTAGAAGTCCAATACTTTATTGTGTGTTGGAATTATATAGAAAATTGAAATTATTTTTCCTTATTTTATTCTTCTAAACAAGTAAACACTAGCAAAAGTCTCTAACGCCACAACACAACAGTCGGGCGCGGGCGGGCTGAATGAATGCAGTGTTGCCACAACATGAAAATATTTTGTACCAAAATCATCCATGAAGTGTACCAGATTCAGCAAAAGTGTACCAAACCCAAAAGTTGAAAAAAATGTTTGGTAATTTTTTACTTCGAGGGCATTGTCGAATTTTTTCAAAATTTTTGCCAGTACTTACGTATTTTGGGGTGTAGAATACGAATCTGAAAACCAAAAAGCTGGGAAACCAATACTTTTCGAGATATTTGCAAAACAAAATCTTTATCATCACTGTTTTGCTGTTGTTTGGCGGCTCATCACTGGCAATAGGTACTGGCATGTCTGGTGTATACGCACTCCGTGCATATGTTAATGGGAAATAAATTACCAAATTTAGGGTATTTTCTTTGAAAAATTAATGGATATTGCAAAAACTTAATACTGTTAGTTATTTTCCTAGCACCTATTCACAAAAAAATAACAACTATGACAGCTAACAGCACCAAAAAAATCAATGTCAATTGTTTGATCAACAAACAACAAAGAAAGATGATGGCAATGTTGCCATAGCTCGTCCGTTTAACGCTTATTTTCTTTCTAGACGATTCTCAGAAATAAACATGAAATAAATTAAGTTAAATTAATTTAAATTTAATTTCTATACATAGTTTTAGTGTGATTAAAAAAATTGAAAATTCTTTCATTGAATGGAATAGAAAACAATATAGGGAGGGTATTCCAACCATATTCTTTCCAATGTGTGTTTGAAAAATGAGATCTACTTAACCCGAACAAACTAACCTAACTATAGAGCTCGGATTACGATAGACGTTGCGGTTACGATAGACGCTGCGGTTACGATAAACGCTGCGGTTGCGATAAACGCTGCGGTTCCGATAGACGCTGCGGTTACGTTATCCGAGCTCTATAGTAACCGCGGTTCTATCGTAACCGCAACGTCTATCGTAATCCGAGCTCTATAGTTAGGTTAGTTTGTTCGGGTTAAGTAGATCTCATTTTTCAAACACACATTGGAAAGAATATGGTTGGAATACCCTCCCTATATTGTTTTCTATTCCTATTACGGGAAAAAACAAGATCTGGCAACATTGCTTGTTATTGTCTGTCAATTTATCATGTCTGTCAAGTGTCACGTTCACGTTTGATGCATCTTTTAATCATAAAAAAACACATACATAAAATTAACAAGGTAAATAGCAAATGAAATGCTTTCATTGTTAAAATACCCAAATAAAATGAATTGAGAAATACATAATTCATCAATCAACAACGAAAGAAAGAAGATAGAGAATTATACCGCTTGAGGAATGTTGCTAAAAGACGCTGAAAAATGATGAACAAAATGACTTATTTTGCAAATATCTCGAAAAGTATTGGTTTCCCAGCTTTTTGGTTTTCAGATTCGTATTCTACACCCCAAAATACGTAAGTACTGGCAAAAATTTTGAAAAAATTCGACAATGCCCTCTAAGTAAAAAATTACCAAATGTTTTTCTACAAGCGTGCGTGATTCACCCTATACCCGCACGCAATTTAGTTTGGGAAGTGTCATTTTCCCGCAACAGTGCGGGAAAATTTTTCCACACTAGTGCGGGAAAACAAAGATATGATAAAATCGCTAGTAATATAAGTGGTTGGTGATGGAATATGAAAGTTTAAGTTTGTTTGTTGCAGTATTAAGTATGTATGTTCAGAATCATCCATCAAATTGCACTATTCATTGTAAAAATTAAGAAATATTGAGAAATAAAAATTGATTATTATAAAAATCCCCCTATAGATTTGGATTGATCTGACGGGAAACGTCAATTTGTCATGCCAATCAAACCTCAAATAGGGTTATGGCGCGTTCACATGCTGGCTTTTCGCCTTTTGACTTACATCATTGGCCGATTCGTCAGAAAGCGCTTATCGAGGTCATAAGCTAGAAAGTCGGTTTCAGTCCGACTTTTGCGGAAAAAAGCTCAGATCGTTTGACAGAACCACACAAATATTGACAAAATGTATACAACATATTGGTGCTATATCATCATATTATGCAGTGTGGAAAACAGTACCGGAAAAACACTCCTAAAAATGTGATAAATGTGGTTTCTGGAGGACGTACATCTGAAATTTAACCAAATATGTGGCAATCACTGTCACTTCTCAAACTTTTTCATGTGAACAGTGCGCCCGTTTTATTCAAGCTTTCTGCTGTAGGCATAAGCTGGCATGTGAACTCGCCATTATAGTTCAATGGAGTTTTCACTCAATTTCCAATATCAGATTCGTAGTCCACGGTCAGATTTCTTGTTTTTGCAAAAAAAATTGTAAAATATGGTAATGATTATGCGGTGCGCTTTGATTTTCAGCCGTATTGTAGCTTTTTTTCAACAATCGTCTAGTCGTTTTCAAGATTGGCTGTTGGCAACACTGTGTATCCGCCTCGGCGGTTGTATAATCAACTGCAGCATCGGTCGTGTAGACAGTTCCTGTCATAACTTTAATTTAACTTTAATTTGAAATTTAACCTATCTATTTGCATCCATCTCAAGATCTCGATCTCACTGTTTTTTGCTACCTTTGGCCTTTGGAGATTTGTTCCACTGCTTTTCTATTTATATTTATGCGCTTTGGGATGGAATGGAAAACTTATCAGAAAATATACAAACCTTATTTTCCTATGACACTGAACTGAGTGCCGATTCTGTAGAATGGTGCCCACATGAACCACACCAAAATGTATTCGTTTGTGCCAATTATCAACTGGAAGAGAAGAGAGACGACCATCTTGAGAGTAGTACAATAATAATCATTCATTATTTCCACAACTTCCATTCAAATGAAATTTTCATTTGATTTCAGCTGTTGTGCATAGGACAAGAAAAGGAAGGGTTTTACTGTTTTCTATAACAGCTGATAATGGATTGAAGTTACATGAAACAGTGAACTGTCCTGCAGTGTTGGATCAAAAATGGTGCCATGAGAGAGTTAATGATAGTTCACATCTAGGGGTTGTTAATGCTAATAAGGAAGTAACAATCTTCAAGTTAAATGTAGAGGGTACCAGCTTAGAAACAGCAACAACCTGTAATGTTGACTCAGATGAATCTGAGACATTAGTGCTATCATTAGATTGGTCTACTGGCATTTACCAGTCCAATGAACCAGAAATCATCTGCTCTGATTCAAAGGGCAATATTCATTTACTTCATTTATGTGGAGATTCATTACAATTAATAGATACTTGGAATGCTCATAAATTTGAGGCTTGGATTGCAGCGTTTTATTATTGGAATACTAATATCATCTTTAGTGGTAAGCACTGGTTGTTTTACTATGATGTAACTGTGAAAGTTAGAACAATTAGGTGAGAGTTCAGAATATTCCAAGGAAAATAATGTGGCAAATTAAGTAAAGCAAAATCTAATGCTTAGCTGTTTCAAATTATATTTCAAGTTAGATTTCATAACAGATGTAACCCAAAATTATATGAAAATGAAACAATGAATGGATACAATTCATCATACAAAACCTTGGGATTCAGCAAGTTTTTGATGAAATCATATACATAGAGATATACATATTTAAGAATTTTTCATTTTCCCAGATTTTTTTGTCATGTCATTGTCAATGTCACTGCATGAGTTCTAAAATTGTTCTATCAGAGCCTAAAAAAAAAGTTTTTGATTGTCAATGACACTTTGTTTTGAAAAAAGTCTGGGGAAGAGAAATATAGGTATATAAAAAATACATCAGATTTTCACAATTGTCATTTGTCTAGAAGAATGAATATACTTACCTATCACCTCCTCATTTAACCTAGAGACAGTATCCAAGATGTATTGTTGTGTTCAACTAACTGCACTGTCCTGGCTAATACTATGCAAAATAAACTTCTTTTGTTGAACACTCACCATAAGGGATTAAAATAGTTATTTGTACACCAAGGTAGTAAAAAATATCAGTATTACCCAGGGACAAAGATTATATTTCCAGGCTTCAGTCAAGGGGCATAAGGTCCTGTTGGTAATATTATTGTTACTACCAAGGTGTTTATTAATTTTTTTCACCACTAGCAATATATTTATTGTTACTATGAAAGCACTCATCTAGTAGGCATGGCCATGACAGAATATGACTAGTCATTATTGATATACACCGTGTCCCAGCTAAAATGTCCCCCTTTGTAAAAAATCAACCGCACGATCGAATGACTTGAAATTTGGTTTCCCAGTATATTTGATGATGCTCACTCGAAATATGCTGTTGAATATATCGTAGGTATACAGGGTCACACCAAAGTGCACATCAACTTCCTTATTCGAATAGGGACACCCAGTATATTATTCCATATTCAAAGTAGTGTTCATTATTACAAATTCAACAATGCCGGGTTTGATGGGATTTTTTCAAAGTACTACGAAGATATGTCAAAAAATAAAATGATTTAATAAAAAATTTATATAATTAGATTTTGATATATATAACACGATTGAAATCGAATGATGGCTGTCCTGCACATAACTACAGACCCTTAAAGGATTATCTTCGCCATCGGTTTGAAGAAAATCTGATATCCACCAATTGTCTGGATGGTGATAGCAACTGGCCAGCTCGGTCGCTACACCTCACCCCACTTGATTTTTATTCATAGTGCTACTTGAAACAATAGGTGTATGAGTCGCCAATCGTGAATATGGAAGAAATTTATGCGCTCAAATTGATCGCAACGTGATACATGGGGTCAAAATGAACGTTATCAAAAGAGCAAGGAAATGTTTGCAGCAGAATGGACGACGTTTTGAGCAGTTGAGGTATTAATTATTTTCGGCTACATCTATTAGTAAGTTTACGTACGAATAATATGCTAAAATCCTATTCGCACGTTTGCGTACGAATATGGCTGGCAGTACCTATACGTAGGTATACGTACGTGTAGTGTAAACTACTCAACACTAATTTCGTCGCACACCAAAATGTCGCCCCTGAAATAATGTGAATAACTTTTTTCAGTTTATAACAATTTGAATTTGGTTCACACTGTTCGATAGCCCAGTCCTTCAGCTATAATCTGGTACTTCATTGAAACATGAGGGTATTCACATAAAATCTCTACATGGTGTTTTCCGACACTGTGCAAAATTTCGGAATATTCAAAAGCCTCTCAAATGGTGAAAAAAAATTTTTTCTCAACTTCGACAACAGAGGCATGAAGATGATCTCATTACCTCGAGATATTTCGCGAATCAACTTCCTATCTCTCTTATTTACAGAGTGATCTCAGAAAATCAACTATTTGGTTTTGCAGCCATAACTTTTTTCCACGTCAACCGATTTTGGAAATCTTAGGCTCATTTTGAAGATAAAACTTCAGATGAAGAGATCTGAATATCAGAATTGACTCAAGATGGCTATCAAAGATCTAGAGTTTTCTTGAAAGTGACCCAAATCTGGAATGCCCTCCGAATCTCGGTTGGGAGGAGTATTGAATGAAAATCAACTTGTTCTCGGAAAAACAATTCATTCTAGATGCGTCCATATTTTCCTCGCTCTCAGTACTCAAGAATGTGCGTGAGAAAACACAATTGAAACATGTTCTTGCAAAAACATTAGACCATTTCTCCTCTGTAATGCATGGCCCGTAACCAACGTTACAAGAATCACAGTAAGTGACTGACAAGTCAGGTTAGACGTCGTTTTCGAATCATAAACAGATTTTGATAGTTTCGATGCCGCATCTAACGACCGACCAGTTGGAACTGATTCCACAAATGAGGGAACTAGGGTTATCTTCCCTCCAAATCGCGGATCTGCTAAACACGACAGTCCGATCCATTCAAAGGGCTTATCTCCGACACGAATTTTTGTTTATTATTGTCGATTCGTTTGACGCATTATTGCGACTGAAAACTTTACGTAATTGGCAAACTGTTTTCGTGAAACTTTCACCATTTTTGAAATGCGTTTTCACAATAAATAAACGTTGTTTGCTTGAATACTTCTCCATGTTCTTAAATCGCATGTTATGTACGTGACACCTGTTAAAAAAATCACTTTATCAAAAAAATCAAAATCCGTTGCTCTTGTTGGTACACCATTTATGATGAGCCTCAGCTGGTCGGGTTTGTCAGTCACTCATTGTGATTCTTGTAACGTTGGTTACGGCAGGCCATGCATTACAGAGTAGAAATGATCTAATGTTTTTGCAAGAACATGTTTCAATTGTGTTTTCTCACGCACAATTCTTGACTACTGAGAGCAAGGAAAATATGGACGCATCCAGAATGAATTGTTTTTCCGAGAAAAAGTTGATTTTCATGCAATTCTCCTCCCAACCAAGATTCGAAGGGCGTCCCAGATTTGGGTCACTTTCAAGAAAACTCTAGATCTCTGATAGCCATCTTGAGTCAATTTTGATATTCAGATCTCTTCATCTGAAGTTTTATCTTCAAAATGAGCCTAAGATTTCCAAAATCGGTTGAGGTGGAAAAAAGTTATGGCTGCAAAACCAAAAAGTTGAGTTTTTGAGATCACTCTGTAAATAAGAGAGATAGGAAGTTGATTCGCGAAATATCTCGAGGTAATGAGATCATCTGTATGACTCTGTTGTCGAAGTTGAGAAAAAATTTGTTTTCATCATTTGAGAGCCTTTTGAATATTCCGAAATTTTGCACAGTGTCGGAAAACACCATGTAGAGATTTTATGTGAATACCCTCATGTTTCAATGAAGTACGAGATTATAGCTGAAAGACTGGGCTATCGAACAGTGTGAACCAAATTCAAATTGTTCTAAACTGAAAAAAGTTATTCACATTATAACAGAAGCGACATTTTGGTGTGCGACGAAATTAGTGTTAAGTAGTTTATTTTTTTGCCTATCCGCACGTTTGCGCACGAATATGACTGGCAACTATACGTACGTCTCGACGTACGTATACGTATGTACGTGTAGTGTATTTTTTGCTTATCCGCAATTTTACGTAAACGTTTTCAATTTTAGAAAAATATATCAGTTGATATCGAAATTATCTTTCACTTCCATGAAAATGTTCAAATATATTTACCAACTCAAAAATTCTTTACATCTACATGTGCAAAATTTGGTGAATATAATGTGTAATTCATTATGCTTAGTCGAATTTCACAGGAAACTATGTTCAACATTGTTTAGGCAATGTACTGTGGTATATGGTTCACTTTTATATCAGGTGTTATTTCTATCTCACTTTTATATCAGGAGTTTTTGTAAAGATATGAAACCAATATAGCAATTCGAATTTGATCGATTGTTTTGTCGATCACATTGATCTGAATAAATGTAGGAACTTCTTCCTATTTTTCTAGCACATTTTCCTGTGTGCCTTGGCATATTTATACGTACGTATACGTACGGATAGGCTTTGACATATTATACGCACGTTTACGTGCAGATAGGCTTTTGCATATCTATTCGTAAGTATACGTACGTATAATAGAAAGTTGAAGTGTTGTCATGAACGTTAACGTAAACGTAGAAATTGACAGCTAAGCATGCGTATTTTCCAATTCTTCACGTTTGCGTTGTTAGTGGGCTTACGGGTGTACGTTATCTCACGTACCTTCACGTATACCTTAAATATCAACGTACGTTAACCAAACTATACTCGAAATATGCCGATGAGTCAAAATTATCAAATTTGGGATCCCCAAACGAGTTCTGCATCAAGGAGTCCTCTCATTTTGACAGGAATAAATGGTCGAATCTAAACACACAACCAAAAATGACCAATACAAACCGAAAACAAAATGTATTGTTACGTTATGGTGACGACTTCAACTCAATTTAACGACAATACGTAAACGTTATTTTTCGTACCTTAACGTCTACGTGGAGGTCTACGTACAGTGATTACTTCAACTCTCTAGTATGTCAAAGCCTATCGGTACGTATACGTACGTATAAATATGCCAAAGCCTATCCGTACGTATACATGCGGATAGATATGGGAAAACCTATCCGTACGCAAATATAGTTGTCAATTTACGTACGGATAGCATTCTTGGTGGTTATTCGCACGTAAACGTACGGATAAAGTGCCTTATCGTTATTTGTACGTATGCACGCACTGCGTGCGAATAGACACTTCCTTTATTTTTCGACATCTTCGTAGTCGTTTGGATATATCTTTTCAAACCCGGCATTGTTGGATTTGTAATAATGAACTCTACTTAAATATGGAATAATTTACTGGGTGTCCCTACCCACTAAACAAAGTAATATCTCAACAATATTGCAGCAGTATTTCAATGTTATGTGTAATGTTACATCAGATAT